GAAAACACTGATTCATTATTTGTTAAAAATAGTGAGAGAAACCTTGGGAATTAAAAATCCCGAGAACGCAGACGTAGAAATATCCGTCAACAAAAATAAAAATATCCGTCAATAAAAATACAAATATCTTGGGAACTAAAAATCCTGAGAGTGCCGACGAAGTAAATACCGTCAAAAATCAAATAAATAATATAGGTACCGGCCAATTAGGCGGACTTCATTCATTAATTTTTTGCTACTAATTACTTACTATTTAATTAATTACTTAAGGTTGTTTATATTAATTAGCTTACAATTGTTAGTTAGGGTCAGCTGGAATCCCTTGTGGCTTGTACCCAAACTTTCTCCACCACCCCCATCGTCTTGCTTGCACTACGACTCTTCTCAAGCAACTTCCTTATAAAGGGGAGCGAAAGACAAAGTAAAGCTTTACAGGGGTATATCTGGGTAGATTCTAAGATTGCTAAAGATGACGCGATAAAAAGAAAAGATAAATAGCGCCCGTACACGTATATATATATGAAGTCTATCTGCGGACGAATGAACTTGCGTTGTGAAACGTAAATATGTATGCGTGCCTATAATAATAGTTTATAATAATAATTTAAATTAAATAATTTAATTTATTTAATTACCATATTTATAATTTAATAAACTTAAGGAGAGATTTTAATGAACATGCGGAATTTTCAGGGGTTATTCTCAAAATATTGCATCATCTAGTTTCTGAGATAGGACCCAAAACAATATCGAGCGATTTTTAAACTCATTTTAAAGCTACTTAAAGAGTGTAGGCCATGCTCAAAGTAAGAAAAAACAATAATTTATTCAGTTCTTTAAAATTCTATTAATTATTTGATTTACTTTAGTAGCTAAATAGAGTAATAATTGAAAAACGATGTTATTTAGTGTGTTCCACTTTCACCGTTCCACTTCGACGCTAGCTGAGCAACGCGTTTTTACCGGGCATGTCTTTTCGGCAGCCCGTACTGAGATCTAAAAAAAAGACCAGACATTTACATAGGTATGCTATCCGGCACCAAACTTTTTACAGGTTCCTAGTGAAAGGATTAAAAATTTGAATCTTTCATCCCTGTCCGGCCAGGCAGCAGCCGCTGATTTAGTGCAAAGTTTAATTATTAATCTTTAGTATGTATGAATCGCTTAGTTGGTCGAAAGCCGAATGTATCTTGGCCGCTCGACTTCAACGGGCCGTTCTTTAGAGAGTTTTAGCTCCGCAATCTCTAGGTCGGGCGGACCTCTCCATTATCGAGAGCTTTACCTCCGCAATGCCTAGTCGGGCTTCCGTCTCTGTAACAATAACTACAACTTACTTAAACTTAAACTAATCCAAACTAGACCCGCGAAAACATATGTGGTGTAAAATAAACATTACATGAACAGTATTGGTTGAACAATTTTCGTACGCTGCATATCAACAGATCAGTGGCTAATAAACAATCAGTTTTATTTATAATAATAATTAAAATATAAATTATAAAAAAAAGCATAATATAAGATAAATAAAACATAAACGAAACGGTACTTAATTTGTGGCCTGGTGAATTATTAATTATAGGCACGCAAGTTATCCAACCCGTAAATACAGGCCACTTATAGCTTTTATAAACAATATTTTCAATCTCTGCATTTGCCTTTGGCTTGATGGCTTGATCTTTGGCTCAATTATCCAACCCATAAATCCAGGCCACTTATGGCTTTCCACTTATGAATTTTATAAACAATATTTTCAAACTCTGCATTAGCCTTCGGGTTTGTCTTTGGCTTTGAGGTCCGATCTTGGTTCCCCATAAACAAATCAAAATTAAAAGTAAACATCAGCTTCCCTCAGAAGCCCAATCAATTGCGCCTTTTGAGTTTCAAGTATCCACCAAATTCCATCGATCAGCTTAATCGAATTTCACAATGAGATGCGACAGTTTCATCCATCCTTTTTTTAGCCTTTAGACCAGTGGTCGGCACCCCAATACATTGATATGATTTTACCGCATTAGTGTTAGTAACGAATAACAGAAAGTAGGCTGTGAGCATGACGTTTCGCACATGTGTGTGTGTGGCAGAGCTCGGGCAGAGAAATTTCCTATGCCCCCGAGATAGGGCTGTGCCGACCTCTGCTTTAGACTAAACACAACACATGGCCGAGGTTCTTTGGATAAGATTTAGAATTAAGAAGTCAGTTGACCGAGACCGCGAACGGTTGACGGAAAATATTTAAGAAAATCGAGAGTGTCTTGTAATAATTCAGTTTAATAAATAAAGGTTTAACACCAAGTTGTATAATTAAAAAAAAAACTATATTTTTTTCATTCACCATCTAACAACAAATTTAACTGGCGCCCAACACGGTGTCACATAAAGTTCCAACAAAAATTGTTTAATAAAAAATAAACATCCACCAAACGACACTACCAAGTGACAGTGATCGTTAACAACAAAGTAAATGGAAATTAAATAATTAAATAATCCATAAAGAGTGAATTAAAACAAAGGTGGACCGAAATTTTAAACCAAACAATTACATGAACACAAAATTATTAAATCAAAGCACACAAAAAAAAAAACAAGAACAACAAAAACAAATAAAACGACAACTCGCTCCAACAGAAAAAACCAACCAACAGAAAAAACCATGGCAGGACATTCTCAAATAAAACGACAACTTGCTCCAACAGGAAAAACCAAGGATGGAAGACATTCTCTATCCATTAATCCGCTGTATCCAGGAAGGAAGATCAACCACCAACCACACAGAAGAAAGACCCCAACGGGACAGTATCGTGAGGAATTAATTTCCAATAATAAAAAATTATAAATTAAGATCAGGGAATTTAAGGAAAATAATATATGATTTATATATTGTAAAAAGTAAGATTCGCGATTTAATAAATAATATAATGAATAAATCTGGAAGATTTAATAAATTGCTTTGGTGAATTAAATTTAACAATGGCAACCGGAGGTTCAGCACCAAATTTGAAGGCAGTTGATAAACAGATTAATAAACGCTCAATTGAATGAACTTAGCAGGAAAGTAGAATGTTAAGAAGGAAGGTTAGACACAGATGCAAAAACTGTGGAAGATTATTAAACACAAACAATTGACCCAGCTATAAAATGCGATACAACACTTGAAGTGGTAAAACCCTTACCAAATTTCACAGGAGAACCAACACAATATTTAGGAGCAATATAACACAATATTAGGTTGGAGGGTAGCTGCAGAAACTGTAATGCCGAATGCTTTTAAGTTTTTGTTGTTTTTTGTTTACAATTTTTCAGGCACTTGTTATTAATTTGGGTTATTGTGAGATTTAATTAAATTATTGTCGTTAATTTAATAATTTCCTTATATATTTTGGAACTTTAAAAAAGTCGCCGCTCGAATTTGTTACAGATATATATACATATATTTATATATTTACATTGGTTTTCTGATACCTCTTGCAGAACCACAAAAACTTAAAAGCATTCGGCGTTTTAAGTGACTCCGACTGAAATATACTCTGACACTTTCTCAGTATATTGATTTCTAATGATTCGTAAAAATATATATACAGAAAACATTTTACTACTAACACTTAATCTTATTCCTAAATAAATTAAAAACGTATGCTGAAATAATAAAAAAAATAATATAATTTCTTTCGTCATTTCATCAAATACGAATACCCGAATTTTGTTAGAGTAGCAAGCCTGAAAAGTAAGAAAAATCCAAATTTTGTGCGCTGGCTTCGAAACGAAATCGCACGCACACATACACCCGTGTATGTGAATGTGTGACACGCATACATACGAAGATCAACCGAAGCGCAGGCACGACCTTCTTCATCGCGCTCCATTTAGAGACTGAGAAACAGAAAACATTTAATGCGAGAATGAGCGTAAGATGAACGAACGATGAGCGTAAGAGAGCGTAAGAAATCCGCTCTGGGGCCTGCTGGGACCTGTCGCAAGAAATTATTGCGTCCATTTTCGTTGTATGAAATGGGTTGTCTATATGCTGTATGGTTAGTGATAATACTTTGTTGGAGGGTTAGAATCATAGTTTCCGTTTTGCTGTGTGGCTGTTGTGGGGCCTGTTGACCGCTTAGAGAGTTAGGCCGAATTGAAATTTCCCTTCCAGATCGTAAAGCATCGGTATAGGAGAAGCCGTTGGTAGTGTTTAGTGGACCGAATGAGTACCTCGCCGCTTTGGCGAAGAAGACGTCTGGCGTAGTTTTTGACGCAATGTACGCATTCTGTGGATTTTCGTTGCGCGTTGCGGTCGCTTGACGCATGCGACTCTTGACGCAGATAGCCCGAAGTGTGCAGCATGACGTAATTTGTCCATACTCTTACGCAATTATTGCGTATATGTGGCTCTTTAACAGTGATGCTCTGATGCAAAAGATATTTCAGCTTATAAGTTGGGTGGACTTCGTTCTTCTTCAGCGACCTGCTTTCTGGCTCGAGCTCGACCTTAAAGAGGGGTTGTGGCTTTTTGTTTTTGTTTAAAATGGTAATAATATTCTTGGCGGCGAAGCCCTTTTCTTTAAGGGCAATTTTTATTTCCTCGGCGGTAACATCGAGTCCCTTTCTTACCTTTTGTAGGCCTTTGCTGCTCTTCAGCTGCTTTCTTTTTACTAACTAGTACTTTTTACTACTATTACTACACTACAACTACTTTTAAGTAGTTATTTTCTGCATTGTCCAGATATTTGGACAGCATTGGGAAGTGCTATTAAGTCTTTGTTTGCACCTTTTTTGTATGTTCCATTTGATAAGCGGGACAACATGAAAGTTGTAACCATTCCCGATCAACGCCACAATTCGGTTGACTATAGCATTTGATGTTTTCTATAGATAGAATGATATAGAATGGAGGGGCGGCGGTTTTTTGCCGTGTCTTGCGCTGATCGGTTTTCCTCAACCTCCGCCAGTAGGGCGAATCTGTTACTACTGGATCTGACTAGTTATTCGTCGATCTTCTAGTCTGCGGGCTAAGCTTGTGCTTTATTTGAATGAAGCGATATGTTCCAGTCTGTGTGGCCGGGTCCACTTTGACACTTTCCAAAGTTGTTGTTTTTGTACTCGATGTAGTCGTTGACGTCGCGGTATTTTGAATTGCCGTGGTTGACGCCGTTGTTGCAGAAATTGTAGCACTGCTTGCTGTTGGTCCGAAATTTTTTTCGGTCATTGCAGGGGGTGTCTTACACTGCGAACTCTATGACGCGGGAGTTGAGTGAGCAGACTGGGTAGAATGTAGACTTAGGCCAAAAATACTTCCCATACAGATATCAACTTGAAATTTTTTTCCCCCTAAATAATTATATATAATTGATATATTTATAATATTACCACGTATTATTTTCGCACCAATTTTAAAAATCAAATTGAAGCAGACTCCTAAGGTTATGCAACATTATTTTTGTAGGTTTTGAATAAACGTGAATTTAGTTAACGGTAAAATGGATTTTTTTGTTTTAAATATTTTTTAAACTAAAAAAATATTTCAATCGAAACAAAATTAAATTTAAATAAAGTTTAATCGAACAACCGAACTGAGCGGACGTGCTTTGCTCCGAGATGAGCTCCGGGAAACCTGCAAAATAATCGCAGTTAACCAAACCGGAAACCTGGAGTAAGCCAATACAAACGAAAAGACTGAACCATAATCTATTAAGATAAATAAACAAGCTTTATCTAACAGTAGTGATGTGTTAAAACAAAAACTAGTGTATAGTTGTTTTTAAATAAATAAATTCCACGTAATGAGCTCATTGCGCAACGGTCAAAAGAACAAGCGTAGGAGCTCAGTGAACCAAAGAAACGTCTTCGACTGCTACTTTTCAACCCGCGATACTGAATTGGAAAAATAGGCGATTAAGAGCAACTTGGCATTACTGACCGCTGAAAGCCAAAGGACACGGTCTTGCACACCCACTTTTCTCACTCTAACTCCCGCGTCATAGAGTTCGCAGTGTAACACACCCCCTCCAATGGCGGAAACAAATTTGGGACCAACACAAAGCAGTGCTACAATTTCTGCAATCACGGCGTCAACCACGGCAATTCAAAATACCGTGACGTCATCGAGTACAAAATCAACAACTTCGACAAAGCGGACCCGAATACACAGACTGGAATATATCGCTTCATTCAAATAAAGCGCAAGCTTAGCCCGCAGACTAATTTGGCAGGAAATAAAACAAAAATTAACCGCGTCCAGAAGATCGACGAAGAACCAGTTAGATCCAGTAGTAACAGATTTGCCCTACTTTTGAAAACCGACCAGCGCAAGACACCATTCTGTATCATTCTTTCTTTAGAAAACATCAAATGCTCTGGTCAACCGAATTGTGGCGTTGATGGGGAACGGTTACAACTTTTATGTTGTTCCGCTTATCAAAAGGAACATAAAACATAGATGCAAAAGACTAAACAGAACTTCCGAATCGTGTCCAAAAATCTTGACAATGCAAAGAAAACTACTTAAAAGCAGTTTTAGTGTAGTAGTAGTAGTAAAAAGTACTAGTTAGCAAAAAGAAAGCAGCTGAAAAGCAGCAAGCGCCAACAAGTGGTAGTAAAGAGAATCGAACCCGATGTTACTGCCGAGGAAATAAAAATTGCCCTTAAAGAAAAGGGCTTGGCCGCCAAGAATATTATTAACATTTTAAACAACGCTAAAACCCACAACCCATCTTCAAGGTCGTGCTCGACCCAGAAAGTAGGTCGCTGAAATAGAATGAAGTTCACCCAATTTATAAGCTGCAATATCTTTTGCATCAGAGCATCACTGTTAAAGAGCCACATAAACGCAACGGTCCATTGCAATGCACCAAAAACCAATAAAGTTTGATGCAGCTTATGTCATTCATGAAAACGACCATGCAAACACTTCTAATTGTCTTAGACGGTATGCTACTTATGGAAGCGCATCTTACTTTCAAATAAGAGCCTACACAATCTGCCGCAGAGATCATCCAGATGGGAAAGTCCACGGCGGAACTGGAGTTTTAATCAGAGAACGCATTAAACACCATTTTCACAAAAGGTTTGCAACAAACTTCTTGCAGGCCACATCGATACAAATTCAGTCAAGCAACGGAATCCTTTCAATCGATGCTGTTTACTGCCCTCCTCGTTTCTCAATCTCGAAAGGACAATTTATGGACTTCTACAATTCATTTGGGGAGACTACAACGCCAAACATACGTAATGAGGATCACGTCTGGTGACTTCAAAAGGAAGGATATTTTACAATTAAATTATTATTTTTTCGTTTTTTTTTTTTTTTAACGTTGCTTTTATTTCTTGAATCTTCTCTTTGCGAGACTAACAAGAGGTGTATCAAATCTTATATTTTTAACTTAACTAACAGTCATATTGACTGATACGGAGTAAGACGGCCCTTAAAATCGATTGCTGGGTTGGGAGGTCGTTGCGTCTAAGGCGGGATACGCTAGAAACCCGAGTCAATCCCCCAGCGAGAAAATTTGGGTGCGAAGACAGTTTTTCTTTGTATGACTTTTTTTGCTTCTGGATTTCGTCTTTCACTGCGAGGATGCCCAGATGCCGGTGGATGTTTTCGTTGCGAACATACCAAGGTGCCCCTGTGATAGTTCTCAAGATTTTTGATTGTGCGCGCTGAAGGATGTCTATGTTGCTGCTGCTCGCGTTCCCCCACAGCTGGGAGCCATACGTCCAGATTGGCTTTAGGACTAAATTGTACAGTAATAACTTGTAGTCAAGGCACAGTGGCGATCGTGAGTTTATGATCCAGTGGAGGCTGCTGGCTTTCAGTTTTAGGGGCACCTTTTTGCATTCGATGTGCTTGCGCCAGGTAAGTCGTCTATCAAGGTGAACGCCAAGGTACGTTATGTCGTTAGCTTCAGGGATCTGCATACCGTTTAGTAAAAGTGGAGGGCATTTTTGTCTATTAAGAGTAAACGTTATATGTTTACACTTTTGTTCGTTTATTTTAATGCGCCAGTCGGACAGCGACCTTTCCACTATTGTGAGATGATTAGCCAGTTGGGTTGTTGCCTGCGTTGGGCATCTGGAGCGACTAAGGATAGCGGTATCGTCGGCGAACGTTGAGGTTGTTAGTTGTGCGCTCGTAGGAATATCCGCAGTATACAAAACATATAGACACGGGCCGAGTGCGCTTCCTTGTGGAACTCCAGCTTTGATGGTGGAGTCGCCCGAAGTAGCTGCGTTGCATCTCACTGAGAATACCCTATTGTAGAGGTATGATTCCAGTAGCTTGTGGGTGTATGTTGGCAAATACGTTTTAATTTTGTGCATGAGTCCGATGAGCCAAACTCGGTCGAAAGTATGAGATACGTCGAGGAAAATAGCGCTGCAGTATTCTCGCTGTTCGAAGGATGAGCGTATTTCAGATGTTAATCTGTTCACTTGTTCGATGGTTCCATGGTTTCTTCGAAAGCCAAATTGGTGTGCCGGAATTATATTGCAAGCTTCCAGATGTGGTATTATGCGAGTTAACAAGCATTTTTCAAACAGTTTAGACAAACAAGATAGAAGGCTTATTGGTCTGTATGATAACGGAATTGTGTGGTCTTTTCCAGGCTTCGGTATCATTATAATGATGGATTTCTTCCACTTTTTTGGGAAATAGCCAAAATTAATGATTCCATTAAATAGTTTGTAGACGACCTCTATAGCGCATTTTGGAAGTTCGATCAGCATCTTTGGGGTCAATAGGTCAACACCGGGAGCCTTTTTTGGTTTTAGCCCTCTTATAACTTTTTCGATTTCGTTCGGCCGGAATGAAGGTGCGGCTGGCTGAGGGAAGGACTCTGGCTGAATTTCTGGCAGGAGGAATGAATTTGAGGCTGGGTTAGGCTGGAAGACACTTTGGAGATGTGTGGCGAATGTTTCAGCTCGGTCTTCGTCGCTGCGAGCCCAGCATCCAGAAGAGTTTTTTATCGGGGTGGTCGTTTCAATTGGGGCGCTAAGATTTGGGTGGGCCCTCCACAGGGGGTACTTTGTGCTTGTTGGCGAGAGATTCTGGATGTACCTCAGCTGTGCATTTTCTTCCTGTTGGTGAAGAGCCTGGTCGAGTGATTGGGTTGCTTCCTTAAGGGGTTCTTTTGAAGCTGATGATCCGCTGTTTTGCCAATCACGACGCGTGCGCCTCTTTTCTCGCACGAGCTGTTCGATTTGCTGATTAGATTTGAAGTATTTGTTTCGGTCTACTTCTTTTCCATGAGGAGTAGAGATTTTAGCTGCCTCAACGAGTACTACTTCCAGGGCGCTCGTAGTGTAGTCTATGTCAGATTCCATGTTAAATTCCGGGGCGAGTTCTATGTGGGCACTCACGTACTTTTTGTATTTTAGCCAGTTCGTTTTTGGCGTCGTCAGGCTGAAGGGGTGTTCGGTTATTTCTGAGCTTTGAAGAAGCGTTAGAAGCACAGGCGAGTGGTCTGATAATAAGTCCGAGACTGCTTTGGCACTTATTAGATTGCGAGGTATGTTTTTTGTCACTGCAAAATCAATAAGGTCTGGGAGCTTTCGTGAGTCTGTTGGCCAGTATGTGGGACTTCCAGGGGAAACGTAGTCCAGTTTATTTTTCACATTTATAATTGCATTGTACAATAGTCTTCCTTTGGGAGTCACTAGACGTGATCCCCAGTGCGTATGTTTGGCGTTGTAGTCTCCTGCGGCTATAAATCGATCCCCAAGTGAATTGTAGAAGTCCATAAATTGTCCTTCCGAGATTGAGAAGCGAGGAGGGCAGTAAACGGCAGCGATTGAAAGGATTCCGTTGCTTGACTAAATTTGTATCGATGTGGCCTGCAAGAAGTTTGTTGCAAACCTTTTGTGAAAATGGTGTTTAATGCGTTCTCTGACTAGAACTCCAGTTCCGCCGTGGGCTTTCCCATCTGGATGATCTGTGCGGTAGTTTGTGTAGCCTCTTAAATGAAAGTTGTATTTGCATGTAAGATGCATAGTAGCATACCAGCATACTAGCATACCACCAGTAGCATAACGTCAATATGGTTTTCGGTCAAGAATTGTGACAATTCTAGTTTATACCGTGAGACACCATTGGCGTTCCACATTGATATTCGTAGCGCCTGAATAGATTATTTAAACCGTTGTGCTACGAGCAGCTGTATCACCATGTTCTGGTTTTGAACAAG